CTGAAGTCGGACGCTTAACTGACTGCGCCACCCAGACGCCCCAGTGTCTTCATCTTTAAACAGAGACGTTGGTCCCTACCTCCCAGAGGAGGATTAAAGGAGATAGGTATGGAGAGCACGTGGGCACAGAAGCCTCCCGGAGCTCGTTGATGTGAGCGGCCACTCTTCTTCGGTCTCCCCCAGGCTGGCTGAGGCAAGAGGAGGAAAAGGAAAAGACGGTTGTGAGGCCGGGGGCAAGTCCTGTGTGGCCTCCTGAGCCTCAGTTTCCTTATCTGTGAAATGGTGGTGGGGCAGGGGCAAGGACTTGAGCCTCACTCAGCATTGCCTGCAGCTGGTTCCAGGCCCTCAGGCTGAGGGCGAGCAAGGCTGCCCTCTCTGCGCCACTCTGGCAGGACAGAGCTGGCCTTGGCTGAGCCCCTGCCACCACCTCCGTGTTCCAGGTGAGGAGCCGGAAGAGGAACCGAAGGTGAAAACCCAGTGGCCAAGGTCTGCAGATGAGCCTGGGCTATACATGGCGCAGACAGGTAACCCGGGCCCGCCTCCCTTCCTCTGTGGCGGGGGCCCGACTGTGTGGCGTCTGGTGGCATGTGTGCTTGGCGTGTGCCCGTCTGTGTCTATGTCCTAGAGCTCAGTCACATCTCTGCCACGTGAGGCCTGTGGGCAGGGCTGGGTGGCCTCCTTAATAAGAGCCTGTCACTTGGGGTCAGGGTAGGAGGATCCCTATGAGGCTGAGTGCTTGGGAGGTGCCCCCTGCCGCCGACGCTGTCCCTCTCTCGTAGGCGACCCGGCGGCTGAGGAGTGGTCCCCGTGGAGCGTGTGTTCCCTGACGTGTGGGCAGGGTCTGCAGGTGCGGACCCGCTCCTGTGTGTCCTCCCCCTATGGGACCCTGTGCAGCGGGCCCCTGCGGGAGACCCGGCCCTGCAACAATTCAGCCACCTGCCCAGGTATGCCCACCCTCCCGCCTGGTCTGCCTGCAGGGTTAGGTCCTGCCTGGGACTCGGGCAGGTTCAGTTTCCAAAGATGGTTGGTTGCCTCCTTTTTTCATTCATCAAACTTGACTGTCCCCCACACTGTGCCTAGCCCCACACAGGGCATTGGGGACACAGATGAATCAGACCAGGGCCCACATCAGCGGGCTCGGTTCTGGGCCCACCACTCCCCTGTTGCCTACGTCCTGGTAATCAAGGCTCGTCTTTTTACCCTCACCGCCCTCCGTATTCCCTTTGCTCTGGCCATACCAGCGCCTCTAGCAGTTTCCCACCTCCCTGCATTTGCTTATTCTTATCCTGTCCACCCCCCGCCCCTCCACCTTGGCTGTTACAATTCAGTCTGACCTTCAAGGTCTAAGACCAATGCCAATGCCACTTTTTTTTTTTTTTCCTTTTTTAAATGAAACCTTGCCTGACCGTCCCCTCCCTCCTCTGACTCCCCATCCCAGTCCCCAAAGAGCCTCCTCAGTCCAGCATGGAGTGTTGAGAATGTGCATGTGCCTGCCTGGGACAGGTGGTCCACCATGGTGGGGGGCCAGCTTCAGCCAGGCCTGCTCCTCGTGCCCTGAGAGAGTGAAGTGGTGCCTAGGCCATAACCAGCTCCTGGCTGTGGATTTAGAGCAAGGCTACATGGGAAGGGGTCTTGGTACCTGGGGGTGTGGCAAGAGCTTGCACAGGGCTGGGGCAAAGCTGTGTTCCAGAGTGTGAGCTCTCTGTGTCAGTGTCCATGTAGAGGTTCGTGTCTCTTTGTGTGTCCATGCGCTTGGGGTGGGGAGGGGCGCTTCTCCTGCCCCAGGTCTGCCATGTTGGATTCTTGCTTCGGGTCTGGGGATGGGGAGGGCTGAAGGGAGGGGGGATGGGCTGGGGCAAATCTTGAGTCCTTTCCTGGGCTTTCCCTGTGCTCCCAGGAGAGGAGGAGCCCTGGCTCCCCTCCCGGGTGGGTCCTAGTCTCCCTATCCTGGTGGCCACAGGAGGCATCCTGTGCCAGTTGGGACTAGACTCCTGTGTCTTCCCCCAAGGGGTGGAGTCCTGGGGCCCAGTGCAGAGCCAATGAGGAGCGGTAGCAGAGCTGCCGGAGCTCCTGATTGGTGGGCGGATGGGCAGTGGGCGGGGCCAGGGTGCCGCCCTGCCACCGGCCACGTGCTTCCTTGCAGTGCACGGCGTGTGGGAGGAGTGGGGGTCCTGGAGCCTGTGCTCCCGCAGCTGCGGGCGGGGGTCCCGGAGCCGGATGCGGACCTGCGTGCCCCCCCAGCACGGCGGCAAAGCCTGCGAGGGTCCCGAGCTGCAGACTAAGCTCTGCAGTATGGCGGCCTGCCCGGGTCAGTAGCGCCCGTGGGCTTCCAGGCGGGCGCTGCCCAGCCGGGTGGGGGTTGGGAGACCCAGGGGAGGTAGTCAGGTCCAGTGCCTTGACCCTGGGGGCCCACGAACTTTAACCAAGTGTGGGGGGTGGGGGGACTGGCGAAGTGTACCTGCCGGCGTGGGAGGTGATGTGGCCCCGCCCAGACTTGGAGTTGGCACACTGCAGGTCCATCAAAAGAAGACTGCCCCTTCCCCTAAGCCCTGGGATACCCTTGCCGTCCATTGCCCTTGGGTGCTCATGGCAACTGGGTTGTGAGGGGACATAGATCTGGGCCTAAGCGTGGGCAAAAATCCAAAGGTGCCCCTAGGGCCCATTTCCCTAACCCAAAGAGAGCATGTGCCACCTCGGGGCTGAGTGTGGAGAGGTATCCTGTGTTCCTGGAGCTGGTGGCAGGCAGGCAGGCCCAGGCCCAGGCACCACCTGCTCGCTACAGCCCCCCCTTCATCCACCCCTCTCCAGTGGGTCTGGCCTGGCTCAAGTCTGAATGCCTGGCAGGCTCTGCCATCTCCCTGCGGTGCTCTGCCCCCACGAGACCTCACACCTCTTGCTCAATGGCCACCCCTGCTTGTGTCTCCCATGCAGTGGAAGGCCAGTGGCTAGAATGGGGTCCCTGGGGCCCGTGCTCCACATCCTGTGCCAACGGGACCCAGCAGCGCAGCCGGAAGTGCAGTGTGGCGGGGCCGGCCTGGGCCACGTGTACGGGTGCCCTCACGGACACCCGCGAGTGCAGCAACCTTGAGTGCCCGGGTGAGTGCTCGGCACACGGGTGGCAGGTGGCAGCCCTGGCCCTGGGGGCACTCGGGGCCGCTCACGCCCCGCTTCTCCTGCAGCCTCAGATGGCAAGTGGGGGCCGTGGAACGCGTGGAGCCTGTGCTCCAAGACGTGTGACACGGGCTGGCAGCGCCGCTTCCGCATGTGCCAGGCCACGGGTGCGCAGGGCTACCCCTGCGAGGGCACTGGAGAGGAGGTGAAGCCTTGCAGCGAGAAGAGGTGTCCAGGTATCGGCGGCAGGACCCCGGGGGTTGAGGGACACGCCCGTGGGGACTGGCTGAGCCCCTCCACTGTCCCCCCGCAGCCTTCCATGAGATGTGCAGAGACGAGTACGTGATGCTGATGACGTGGAAGAAGGCGGCCGCTGGCGAGATCATCTACAACAAGTGCCCCCCCAACGCCTCAGGTGAGGGGGGGAGGTGGCTCTCCCCTCGGGCCCCACCCCTGCCATTCTTGCCGTCTCCGTTCCGGGCCCCCAGCCCGTGGGAGCCTCCAGCCTGAGGCGCGGAGTGAAGTGGATGAGAGCCGGGCCCCACACCCAGCCCCGTGTCCTGTCTGCCTGCAGGGTCTGCCAGCCGCCGCTGTCTCCTCAGTGCCCAGGGCGTGGCATACTGGGGTCTGCCCAGCTTCGCCCGCTGCATCTCCCACGAGTACCGCTACCTGTACCTGTCAGTGAGTGTGCCCCGCTGGGCTGGGGCGACCCAGGATCTGTCCCAGACTCTGGGAGGGGGTGGGGGGAGCTCGTTTCTTGCTCTTGCCCATGTGCCTTGGCATACGTCTGCTGTGCCCACTTCTGCCTGGCCGCGCCTCTCTTTGTCTGGCAAGCTCCTATTCATACCTCAAGACCTGACTCTCGAGTGTCTCTCCTTATTCCTGGTGCCTATTTCTGTGCTCCTCTTGTCCCCTGAGCTTCCCAAAGTCATTAGGTGTTGTGGATGCTCATCGAGATGTCTGTGTCCTGTTAAGACTATGAGCTCCTTAAAGGCAGGGACAAAGTCGAATTGATTTCTGTGACCCCAGTGCCCCACCCAGGGCCTGTCATGGGGTAAGAATGTTGGCAGTGAACGTGGCCTGTGTTCATCTGGCTGTAATTGGTACTTGCGTGTTTGCACTTGGAGCTTGTATTTGGAAGGAAGAGTGAGAGAGTGCGTTACGCTCCAGAGTGGGCATGACCCCTCTGGGATGGGGAGGTGCCTTGTCCCTGTGCCGTGCTTGTCATCTTTTATATGTACATCTGAGCACCTTCCTCCTCTAGCTGTTTCTATTTCAGTCTTTTTAAAGTATCTTTAGGTCTTTTTCTTGGACTCTGTCTCCTATGAGCCCCTTTGAGCATCTCTCTCTGACCTTTTCACCCTCCCTCTCCCTCTGGATGCAAGCAGAGGGTGGACTGGAGTGGGATGGGCCAGCGGCCGGTCCCAGCTCCTGACACTCTGGTGACAGCAGCCTGCCTGTCCCCTGCAGCTTCGGGAGCACCTGGCCAAGGGGCAGCGCATGCTGGCGGGCGAGGGCATGTCACAGGTCGTGCGCAGCCTGCAGGAGCTGCTGGCCCGGCGCACTTACTACAGTGGGGACCTGCTCTTCTCCGTGGACATTCTGAGGAATGTCACTGACACCTTCAAGAGGGCCACCTACGTGCCCTCGGCTGATGATGTGCAGGTACTGCCCTGCCCCGCCAGAAGGAAGGAGGGCACCCTAGACTGAAGCAGGAGGTTGGGCCCCTGTGGCAGAGTCTGCTGGGGGTAGCACCTGTGGCTCTGATGGGGAAGCTTCCGTCCCTGGGGCTGGAACCTCCTGACACCCACTGCTCTTGCCCCAGCGCTTCTTCCAGGTGGTGAGCTTCATGGTGGATGCGGAGAACAAGGACAAGTGGGATGATGCTCAGCAGGTGAGGGGCTGGGCTTCCAGGCTTTGCCCCCCATGACCGACCCCTGCCTCGGACCCTTATACACTCTCTGTCTCCAGGTGTCCCCTGGCTCTGTGCACCTGCTTCGTGTCGTGGAGGACTTCATTCACCTGGTGGGCGATGCCCTCAAGGCCTTCCAGAGCTCTCTGATTGTCACAGACAACCTGGGTACAGGAGGCAGGCTAGGGAGGCGGGGCTGGACATGGCAGAACCCAGGCTGCTGTGGGAGTGGGGTGGTTTCTGAGGGCTCCTCCTATTTTTCTCTCTCTCTGGGGCCTGTAGTTCCCTCGTTTAACCCCTTCTTTGTATCTCTCTCTCTGTCTTCTCCTCCTCCACCTCTGTGTTGTTTCTGTGTGTATGTGTGCCCCACCCGTGTGTTTGTACCAACCTCGATATCTGCGTCCTGGTGTCTGTCTCTCCCGTATCGGCTTCTTCCCCTGTGACTCTCCCCTCTGCCTCTGTCCCTCTGGCTCGGGCACGGGTTGCAGTGATCAGCATTCAGCGGGAACCAGTCTCCGCCGTGTCCAGTGACATCACATTCCCCATGCGCGGCCGCAGGGGCATGAAGGACTGGGTGCGACATTCAGAGGACCGCCTCTTCCTACCCAAGGAGGTGCTCAGCCTCTCCTCCCCGGGGAAGCCAGGGGCATCTGGCACCTCGGGCAACCCTGGCAAGGGGAGGGGCCCGGGAACCGTGCCCCCTGGCCCAGGCCACTCCCACCAGCGCCTCCTGCCGGCAGACCCTGAGGAGTCCTCCTCCTACTTTGTGATCGGTGCTGTGCTCTACCGCACGCTCGGCCTCATCCTGCCACCTCCCAGGTGAGTCCCCAGGAGGGGTGCGTGGGGCCGCCCAGGTGAGACCAAGAGGACTGAGGCTGTGCTGGTCACAGGGAGCTCCCTCTGCAGCCTCCTGCGGCCTTGGGCACCCTTGTCTGACCCTGGACATAGGTGCCTCTCAAAGATGTCTGTGCGGCTCCCAGAGGCTAAGCTGCGGACCTCACCTGAAGTCCTGGGCCCCATGGAACTCTTGGCCTTTAATTGGTCTTGGCTCCCTGGTAGCCCCCTACCACGGATCCAGAGCACCTTTGAGGTCCCAGACTGGGTCTGGGCAGCGGTGGTAGGAGCTGACCTCAGTACCCGTCCCCAGGCCCCCGCTGGCCGTCACATCCAGGGTGATGACAGTGACTGTGCGGCCCCCCACCCAGCCACCAGCTGAGCCCCTTATCACAGTGGAGCTCTCCTACATCATCAACGTGAGTTGGGGCCCAGACAGGAACCCTGGGGATACCCCATCGTGAGCAACCAAAGGCTTGTCTGATGGGGAGGCGGTCTGCCCCGATAGTGGGTCCCGTGTGGGGCCTGCCACGGCAGGATGGGTAGCTGTCCTGGTGGTGACCTCCCCACCCCACACCACACTCATGACTTCTGTTCCCCAGGGCACCACGGACCCCCACTGCGCCAGTTGGGACTACTCCAGAGCGTGAGTGGGGCAGGGGCGCAGTGTGGTGGGGGTACAGCCCTAGCACTTCTCTGTCAGGAGGGCTGTCTTAACCTGGAAGGCCAAAACATTCCTCAGGGCCATCCTCGGGCTCGAGGTGTCAAGGGCACATCCCGGGGCGCCCTAGCCACTTGCCTCTCGGGTGTGGTCTTGCTCTGATTTCACTCGTCCTGGGGCAGTGGCCAGCGCTGGGAGTGGGGCCACGGAGTTGGGCTGGGTATCACTCCACCTCTTCCCTCACCCAAGAGATGCCAGCTCAGGGGACTGGGACACTGAGAGCTGCCAGACCCTGGAGACCCAGGCAGCCCACACCCGCTGCCAGTGCCAGCATCTGTCCACGTTTGCTGTGCTGGCCCAGCCGCCCAAGGACCTGGTGAGCGGGAGGGAAGCACCTGGGCCTGGGGAGGGAGGGCTGCTCCCGGGTTGCCAGTGGCCATCTGTGATGGTGTTGGCAGAGACCTGGGTGATCCCGTACGTGCATCTGAGCAGGTGCACTTGTGGGATCGCGCCATGGAAGTCTGTGCCTCTGGGATGGTGCTCGCGGGGATGACGTACCTGGGGATGTGTGGCGGTGGCAGTCATGTGCGTGTACACACACGTGCGTGTGTGGTTGTGTGTAGAGAAGCGTGGGTGACTGAGCATAAATACACACCCACGTGTGTGACTGGGTCTGCCCTGTGCACACGTGGATACAGCAGCGAGTTCCTTCCCTGTGAGTGTGAGGAAGGTGCAGGTGCCAGTCTGGGCTAGACAGGGAGTGGGGAGGGGAGGGGGGCCCCCCCCCGCAGCTGCCTCTCCTGGTGACCCGGTACACCACCGGCTCATCTTCCCTAGACCCTGGAGCTGGCAGGCTCCCCCTCGGTCCCCCTCGTGATCGGCTGTGCTGTGTCCTGCATGGCGCTGCTCACCCTTCTTGCCATCTACGCGGCCTTCTGGAGGTAGGTGGGACGCCGGGCAGGCTGGGGCGGGAGGTGGCCGGCCACCCCGGGTTGGGTTGGGCCAGCTAGCGCCTCTGTTCCCGCCCGCCGTGCCCTCTCAGGTTCATAAAATCCGAGCGCTCCATCATCTTGTTGAACTTCTGCCTGTCCATCCTGGCGTCCAATGTCCTGATCCTCGTGGGCCAGTCACGGGTGCTGAGCAAGGCAGGTGCAGGTGGCGGGCGCCAGGGTGAGAGTGGAGTGAGCGAGCGTTTGCAGGTGCCAGCGCGCGTGTTTACACATACCTGCCCAAGTGACGGGTGTTCGTATCCCTCAGAGCCATGCGTTGGGGGTGTGTATGTGGGGGGGGGGGAAGTAGC